ATTTTCTGTTTTGTTGAGTCTAAATCTCTTTATGGGTCTTATGTATCTGAGTGTTAGGATCGTTAGCTCTTATTGTTGTATTGATCCTTTTACCACTATATCCTTGTTGCTTTGAAATCTATTTTATCAGATGCGAGAATTGCAACTCCTGCTTTTTATTTATTTTTGCTCTCCATTTGGTTGGTAAATCTTTCTCCATCCCTTTGTTTTGAGTCTTTTTGTATCTTTGCATGTGAAATGGGTCTGGATGTAACATTCCGTTCGGTTTTGGCTGTATCTTTTGATTGGGGAATTTAGTCGACTTAAATTTAGGGTTACTGCCATTTGATGTTAATTGCCTATTTTATCCATTCGTTGATGTAAATTCTTCTTTATGTTGATGCTCTTTACTTTTTGGTATATTTTTGGAAAGGCTAATACTGGTTGTTCCTTTCTATATATAATGCTTCTTTCAGAAGCTCTTGTAAAGCAGGCCTGGTGGTAATAAGATCTGAGTACTTCCTTGTTCATAAAAGATTTTATTTTTCCTTCAATTGTGAAGCTTAGTTTGGCAGGATATGAAATTCTGGGCTGAAAGTTCTGTTCTTTGAGGATGTTGAATATTGGCCCCCACTCTTTTCTGGCTTGTAGGGTTTCTGCTAAGAGATCTGCTGGAAGTCTGATAGGCTTCCCTTTGTGGGTAACCTGACCTTTCTCTCTGGCTGCCCTTAGTATTTTCTCCTTCGTTTCAACCCTGGTGAATCTAACGTTTATGTGCCTTGGGGTTGTTCTTCTTGAGGAATATCTTTGTGGTGTTCTCTGTAAAAATTATTATTAAATTGATTTGCCAAATATCTCAACATCACAGCAATTTATCAAATGTATCTCATGTTTCAAAATCCTTGTTTTAGAATCACATCAAAATTATTTAAAATTTAACTTAATATGTGTCACAAAATATGCCAACACAAAGTATTGAATGGTTGACTTGGTAATAAACCTAATAATAAATTATTAAATTACATAACTTTTATCTCTAGTGACTTCAAAAGGAGCAATTCAGTAGAAATGTTTCAAAAAATCATTTAAAAAATACAATGAAGACATGAAACTTGAAACTTCTATTTTTAAAAAAATTGTCAAGACAAATTTCTTCAGACTAGAATAAATACTCATTTATTTTTATTTTTATTCTCTCACAATCATGGAGAATCAGGCCAAAAATAGAGTTAGAAGTTATTCAAGAATGTCAGATCTGCTTCAAGTTATTTTTATAAGATAGATAGAAACAAATAAAATCTTTGTTTTTGTAAAGGAGTTTACACAGGTTTTCTTTAGACTATAAATAAGAAAACGGGAACCATTTTCTACATATGTTCCAAGTAATAAGTCATATTAAATGCTCAATCAGTATTTCTTCAATAAGAAGCCAGCACTAGTATCAAGTGTTAGAAATAAAAAACATGAAAATTATTTCAATTATTCATCTTGAAATAAAATGTAAAGAACTATCTTTTCTGTTGTGATGATTCTTCGTCGGGTAGGGATGAATGAGGAGGCATAAATGACCAACGGAAAACATTCCAGAATAAACACAGGGTCCTTGTCACACCATCATGAAATACTAGGCTCACAGACACTTTGAAGGGTGAGAAAAATAAAATTTATTAAGGATAAAAGGATAAAGAGGAACCAGGGACCCTCAGCAGAGTGAGAGCTAGCCTAGGCTTCCTGCTTCACAGATTGAATTCCAGGTTTTATACAGGAAAGGAAGAGGCCAGGCTCTCCACACAGAAAACAGCGCGAACTTCCCGAGGCTCCACTCCAGTGCCCACTCCTCCCAGTGTGCAGGCCTGTTGGAGGCTCTTTGATGACTCCTTTATACTCAGCCACCTTATTCCTCTCTCTAAATGAGTACATCCAACTGCTGTTAGAATAAGGATGCTGCTTCCTACTATGAGGAACAGTTTTGGGAAAACAGCACTCAGAGTCCCCTCAGAGGCCTATCTAAGGGTTTCTGGCAAAAGGGGTCATTGTCCAAGGCTCCAGCTGCTTGACCATTCAACCTTTGATGGCTGAAGGTGAGACAACACACACCAGATTATTAGAAAACATGTATCAAAACAAATTGAGCCGGGTGCGCTGGCTCATGCCTGTAATCCCAGCACTTTTTAAAGGCTGAGGCAGGTGGGTTGCCTGAGGTCAGGAGTTTGAGACCAGCCTGGCCAACAGAGTGAAACCCTGTCTCTACTAAAAATACAAAAAATACAAAACACTACATGGGCATGGTGGCAGGTGACTAAATCCTAGCTACTAGGGAGCCTGAGACAAGAGAATCTCCCAAACGTGGGAAGTGGAGGTTGGTGAGCCAAGATTCACCACTGAACTCCAGCTTGGGCTACAAGAGAGAAATTCTCAAACAAAACAAAACAAATCAAAGTGAATCAAAATAAGGAGAGGGGTAAAGACAACTTTCAAGGCCTTTTACCAGTTTGCACAGGAGAGGGAGGCCACTGGTAAAAAGAAACTTGGCCCTTTGGCCAGCAAGTTGACCTTCTGGGTTCCCTTCCCCTGAGCCCAATCCTAAGCCAACCAGTTTAAGGTTTGAAAACATAACTTTTCTCAGTTTGGAGGATACATCTGAGGAAAGTGTCCCATAGTATAGAGACAAAATTACCTCTCTGTAAGACAGGACAGAAGAGGAGAAAGAAAAAGATATTTTTTCGAAGGAGTCCCAGGGGTTCAGGATGGATTTCAAAAAGGTACAGATGGAAGATGGATGGGCAGGGGAGCAGGCACACCTGGTTTCCTTCTCTTCCTAGCAGATATACCCTGGGTATGTGAGGAAGAGGTATTCCCTCTTCTGTCCTTGCATCCCTGAGTCCCAGCAACCTTGGCAGGTGCCACCCAGAGGTGCCAAAGCAGCTTGTATTCATGAAGCAGGGAGGGCCTAGGGAATAGCAATTACCCACTCTCACCCATGTCTCTAGCGCACCTACTCTCAGCAGCCTTGGAGTTAACTAGACCTCATTTATGCAACGGATACTACTCACCCATGAAAAGGAACAAAATAATGGATGCAACTGAGACCATTATTCTAAGTTAAGTAACTGAGGAGTAGAAAAGCAAACATCTTAGGTTCTCACTCCTAAGTGGGAACTAAGCTATGAGGGTGCAAAGGCATAAGAATGATACAATGGGTTCTGGGGCCTTGGGGGAAAGGGCAGGAGGTGGATGACGGATAAAACAATACACATTGGGTAGTGTACACTGCTCAGGTGATGAGTGCACCAAAATCTCAAAAGTCACCACTGAAGAACGAGAAAGCAGAAACTGTTTTCTACATATGTTCCAAATAATATTAAATGTTCAGTTTTTCTTCAAAAACAAGCCAGCACTAGTACCAAGTGTTAGAAATAAAAAACATGAAAATTATTTCAATTATTCATTTTGAAATAAGAACTATATATTTTTTTGTGGTGGTGAGTTTGTTGTGGTGTAACCAAACACGTGTTACCCCAAAAACTACTTAAATAAAAAAATAGAAAAAAATTAAAAGTCTACGATAGAGAAAGAGGTCTCATCAATCTGTAAGTCATATTTCTGACAGCATGCCAAATAGATTTGTGTATTTGCATGTTGTGTATACAATATTTCTCTACTATAGAGAGCTCTAATTCATTGGCTTAAAGAAAAATACAAGTACGTTGTTTGTCAACCATTTTATCAATAAAAAGACTAGCCAAATGCTTTTTCACATTTATGTGACTTAAGTAAAACCTTTTATAAATAAGCTGGCTTTTGAATTATTGAGAAAGTATTAGAAATGCTGTGAAAATTCCTAGCATCGTTCTTTGCATTTGTTGATCACGTGATTTCATGCTTATTCCTGCAGAATACGATGAAGATTTGTTATAAGGGTTATAAAACTACAACCCGGCCCAAGACAGAATGGTCTTTGCTTGTGTAATTTTTGATAAAAAAGACATGGAATAATTTGGCTTAATGAAAACATCTACATTCTGAGTTATTGTTAAAATACCCTTATATTTAACCTTAAGAAAAGTATTTAAATAGGGTGGGCACAGTGGCTCATGCCTCTAATTTGGGAGTACATCAGGAGGCCGAGGGGGGTTGATCACTTGAAGACAGAAGTTTGAGACCAGCCTGGCCAACATGGTGAAATACTGTCTCTCCTAAAAATACAGAAAAAATTAGCCTGTGTGGTGAGCACCTGTAGTCCCAGCTACTTGGGAAGCTGAGGCAAGAGAATTACTTGAACCCAGGAGGTGGAGGTGGCAGTGAACCCAGATTGCACCACTGCACTCCAGCCTGGGCAATAAAAGCAAAACTGTCTCAAACAGAAAAGAAAATTACTTAAACACCTGAAATTCACAGCTATAAAAATGGTTAACAGGGAATTTACTTTAAATAATGACTTTCACTGTTTTCATCATCTAGATAAAACATTAATCTAATAAATGGTTATAAACAAACTTGTCATATGATTTGGTATCTAAGGTTATTAACAGATATGAAGTAGCTGGATAATTTCCAACTCAAAAAATGTAGGAAAACATTTTTTAAATGTTCTTATTAGGAGGTCAATATCTTTGTCTAATTCAAAGCTTTTATAAAAGTTATGTATAAAATGAGGTAATAGGAACCAGGAAATAAGAGAAGAAACTTAAAGATATAAAAAAGTATTTTTGATAAAGGTGAAAAAAAGCAATTTTATATAAGAAGGAATCTTGTGTGGTAAATTTTTTGTCCTAAAATAAAATGACCAGGTTGTTCAAGAAAGAAAATATTTAGGCAAAACAGAAAGTCTAAGCATGTTGTGAATCATCTATGTAAATTGATAATAAGATTAGTTATGGAAACTTCACCTTTTTTTTTTTTTTTTTTTTTAGAAAACAGAGTGATATAATTTAGTTGAATATGAGTAAGAAGAAAATCCTAATAGTCTTTCCAGAGGTGGGTCTTTTATATTAACAAAATTACACAAATACAAATTATAATTGGTTAAAACAAGACTTTATTTAAAATATTTAGTCATTTACTCATGAGATAGAGTTTCACTCTGTCACCCTGGACTGCACTGGTGCAATCCTGGTTCACTGCAACCTTTGCCTCCTGGGTTCCAGGAATTCCATCACAACTTTGCTCAAGTTTCTCTCCTTTCCCCAGCTCCTGGACTCTGCTCTGCCTTCAGTCTGAGCCAACATACAAACCCCGTTTATGCCCATCCTAAGAACAGGCTGACTTCTGGCTGAAACATTCCCTGAGCTTGAATCTGATTTTGCCATTCTCCACTCTTCCTCCCACCTTCCTTCTAATCTTGCTTGCTCCTCCATAAAAAACACAGCCCTTTTCTGCCTTTTATGAGATGCTTGCAGATCTGATGCCTGGTGATTTCCCCATTGTAATACTCCTTTAGAATAAAGTCACGTCTTACCTACATCAGAATTTATTTGACAATATCTAGAAACAGCCTCAGGACAATAACAATTATTCCCTCAAAGAGGACATCACAACCCCCCTATTCTCAACTCTGATCATGTCTGCCTATGCATTCCCAGCTTTCAAGAGCTCTGTAGCTTCTCTCAGTATAAAGACCCCGTCTATGGCTGCTGCAAGCAGGCTGGGACACCTGAAGGGGAGGACCCTCAGGAAGAAAAGATTGTGCTATTAATGAACTCTTTTGACATGTCTGAATACGAATACTGCAATTTGGGGAAAAAAATGTTTTTAAAAAAACAAAAAAGTTATCTTTTAAAATCTAAAAAATTTAAATCATTGTTTTAAAAGCCTTACACAAGCCGGGTGCCCCTGTAATCCCAGCTACTTAAAACATTTAATTAAGGAGGGAGGCCAAGGCAGGAGAATGGCTTGGACCCAGGAGGTGGAAATTGCATTGAGCTGAGATCACACCACAGCCCCCTAGCCTGGCAACAGAGACTCATCTGAAAACAAAACAAAAAAAGCCTGACACCATTCACAGCTATCAGCCGACACACTAAGCAAGCATCTGTGAGTGGGCAGAAGGAGCCTACGCTTTGGAGTGGTTTCTATAACTCTGTTTACATTAAAAGAAACAGAAGGGTGAAGACTGTGTTGTTGCCCTGACAGGGTCCCATTCCTTATTATAAAGGGCAATCTTAGTTGTCTTTGAGTTAACTTAAATTGAGGTATTTCTTCTTTTGAAAATACAAACTTCTCTAGTTATTTAGCAGGAGAGGTGGTATTTTCCTGTCTTTTTTGGTGAGGGGTTCAGATGTTACAAGACCCCTCATTTCTTCCTTCAGGAGAGGATGGCCTTGGTGCGCTGAAGAGTAGTTACATCATCAACGCTCAAAGACCTGGTGATGCCAGTATAGAACACTTCGTATTGTTCCATCCTTGATAAAGCCTAAGAATGTCAAATAGAAAAGAGGTACAATTTTAAAAAGGGTTCCATCCTTTTAACAATCACCACTGATGGGAAGCCACACATGCAGATCCTTTAGCTAGTTCAGCTACAGCTACTTTGGCTGAGGTTTACACGCCCCCTTCTGGCAGCTTACTTAGGCCATCTCCTTTCAGGGCTAGAATTAGATTGTGGGAGCAAAGGGGAGCTTGCTTTATTAAGTTACTTAAAAATTGGGCTCCCCAGAATGTCACTGTATTGTGACAGGCTTCTAACAGTATTATCTGTTACCTGTGCACTTGTGCCTTAAAAATAATGAAAGCACAGTTTTGCAAAAAGTTAGTTTATTAACCTATTCACATTCTACCCAATCTATAAGTTATTATATACTCACAGAAAATTGTAACCGGGCAGGCATGTGCTGAATTGTATTGAAATGTCATCAAAGTCTAATGATTAGGCGTCAAAAGGCACTACTTTTATGCTTATGGTAGAAAATTGTATTATTTTAAAATACTTCCACGATGCCACAGAACATGCCTATTTTAAATGTTCATCCTTGTCAGCTGTAATTTTGCTGTGTACTTACCAAAAGTCACAAACCATAAATATTACTTTGTTCCATCAAAGTTATCATTTTCAGTAAAATCCTATGTACTTCCTGCAGCCAGTACTTGAGACACGCATGCCTCATACTGTCTAAGTGCATGTCTCTTGGCTTAGGCACTAATGGTTTCTCTAACATGCCCATGGGACTGACTGCACTGTGGAATACACAGTAGAAAATGATAGAAATTTGAAAACCGGTAACAAAAAGTAGTCAAGAGTGGTAAGTGCATTACGTATGAAGACATCATTAGAAATACAATGGCAGGTCGGGCGCAGTGGCTCAAGCCTGAATTCCGAGCACTTTGGGTGGATCACGAGGTGGGTGGATCATGAGGTCAAAAGATCGAGACCATCCTGGTCAACATGGTGAAACCCCGTCTCTACTAAAAATACAAAAAATTAGCTGGGCGTGGGGGTGTGTGCCTGTAATCCCAGCTACTCAGGAGGCTGAGGCAGGAGAATTGCCTGAACCCAGGAGGCAGAGGTTGCGGTGAGCCGAGATCGCGCCATTGCACTCCAGCCTGGGTAACAAGAGCGAAACTCCGTCTCAAAAAAAAAAAAAAAAAAAAAAAAAAAGAAATACAATGGCAAGAAATCATTTCTGTATATTATTTGCAAGGGCAAAGGTTCAAAACGTTCAAATTCATTAAGAATAAATTTAATTTGATTAAAACATGCTGAATTACGGCCACAAAAGAGATAACATCTATAATTTCCCAAAAATGTGAATCCTTAGAAAAACCATAAGAGATACAGGAAATAGAATGCCAAAAGGTTAATAAGCTCTTCAGTATGTTAATTTTGAAGCTTTCCATTTTTCTAATCACTACTTCATATGACATAGTCATAAATGTTGGCACTGGTGTTTGACTCAAAACCCACTTAGTTACTTCATAGCCTTACCTGCAGATCCCATGCTCTTTGTGTGTCAAGAAGGTAAATAGGTGAACCCAGGCCATACGTATATACAAGGTCACGAAGATGGAAGTAGTATCTGGTATAAACGCTTTTAGAAACGTTAGTATCATAATTAATTAGCTCCAAGAAGTTCATTTCCAACTTTTTCCTGGGGAAGGAGAAACCCAACAGAACAAACACAGGACCATGTTAGTTCACTGGGCTGTCTTCAAAAACATTATTCTCATGTAAGAAATGTGGTAAGGCTATCATGTGCTCTAGTTTATTAGAATTCATGAAATAACGCACACTGGACAGAACCCAATCTAGTGAAGAAATACAAGAAAGAGTGCAACTTTCCCAATTCCCTTTGAAAACTCAGAAAAAAACCAGTACCCAAAATGAAACATGAATGTAAAAAATGTTAATAAACTTGATTTTCCCTATGTTCCTTTTCAAAGACATATTCACATTTAACATGGAGAAAGATGACATAAACTTAAGAAACATGGTAAAGCCTTCACCTTTTTTATTTCTCTGAAAACATGAAAGGATTCAATGGGAAATTCCTTATAAATAGAAACATGTGTTAAGGTCTTCAGTTGTTCCAGTTCCACATGAAGATAAGCACTCATTTCTGAAATAAAACCTATGAATGTATAGAATGTAGAAATGCCTTCATTTACATGATATTTTCTCCAAGACCCATGATAATACACACTGGAGACAGACCCTATAAATATAAGAAAGCACCCTGGTAGATTACCAAATACAGAAAAGTTTACAGTTTTAAGAATTTCTTCAACATTGATGTGAAAACTTTCCCTAGAGGGAAATCCTACTCATGTTCATAAATTGAAAAGCCTGATGCAAATTCATTCTTGTATAATCTTCAAAAAGATACATAAGTACATGTTACCCTACTTCTATTTTGTTTCTCAGTGATTCTTCATTTGAAAGGTTCTCTGTATTACTTCCACTTCTTTTGCAAGAAAACACTGAAGATACAATTTTGTAGATACTTTTTAGACAATACTATATGCATTTAATAGCAGTTGTTTTTATTAAGTCAGGTAAAAAAACTTTTCTCTAGTTATTTAAAAATATCACACTGAGCTACAAGAATGGCTCCAAATTCTGTTTTGAAACACTTGGAAGTAGGTTCCTACGCTAATGTCCAAACAGGGCACAGCTGCTTGCAATCCATTCTGAATCCAGCACCCCAAGATTGGGATGAGGAGAAAGACCTCCTCTGTACTTGTGCAGCTGACTCGGGATCATTCTTGAGCATTCTGTTGTACAACTCAGACTTCATGGTCACTCCCAAGATACCACAATAGTGATCAGATGACAGAAATGATGAATGCCATTTATTAGCTGTCACTATTATGGGACAGGAATACTCTTTACACTTCCAATGGTAGAAAGATCAGAGAGAGACATCTTGGCTAAACTAAACTCATTTTATGAGATGCCTTCTGGTAGGGTGCCAGCCTTACACAGTTTCTCCTGAGTTGAGTTAGAAATGAAACCCCAAGGTGCTCAGCATCTGTCACCCCTGGCCACAACAGAATGTGGGGTTGAGTTGAATGCACTGATTGGGGAACAGGCTCGAAGCAGCCCTCTGCAGCATAATTATTCACCTGTCCTGGCCAAAGGTTGTTTTTATTTTTCTGAGACAGGGTCACCCAGGCTAAAGTGCAGTGACATGATCCTAGCTCACAACAGACTCAACCTCCCAGGCTCAAGTAACCCATGCACCTAAGTCTTTCAAGGCTTGGAACTACAGGCTGGTTCCACTTAACTGGGCAATTTTTAAAAATTCCTTTTGTAGAGACAGGGTCTCACTTTTTGCCCAGGCTGGTGTTAAACTCCTGTGATCAAGTGGATACTCCTACCTTGGCCTCCCAAAGTGCTGGTATTACAGACATGAACCACTGTATCCAGCACTTGGTCAAATGTTTAAATAAATACAAAACAGGAGTAATCTTATCACTCTCATAGTAATCACTGTGAAGACTTAATTGCATAAAACAATATCTCAACAGCACACTTGGTTTCTTGCTTTTAATGTTTCAATGTTTTATCCACTGGCTAAGTCAACAAATGCTTGAAGTTCTCCGGTATGGAAAGCAGTTAGGATATAAGCAGACATGAGGTTTTCTCACTGGTTTCACTAAAAACCCAGCTGAAACTACTTCCAACATTAATTTCCTATTCAAATAACCACAAGGCTATGATGGGAATGTCAGTCAGATATGAATAATCAGCTGACCAGGACTTAATTTACTATAGGAACATATGCACTTCATAATCTCTTTTGTGTATTTCCATAAACATATTTTAACTGTGTAAAATATGGTATTTCATAGAATGATCGTGTTTATTAATAGTAGTTATTGAAGACAACAGTTATCCCTACAGAATATGTATCTCCTTAGTTTTTTTTTTTTTTTGAGATGGAGATTCGCTCTTGTTACCCAGGCTGGAGTGCAATGGCGCGATCTTGGCTCACCGCAACCTCCACCTCCCGGGTTCAGACAATTCTCCTGCCTCAGCATCCTGAGTAGCTGGGATTACAGGCATGCGCCACCGTGCCCAGCTAATTTTTTGTATTTTTAGTAGAGATGGGGTTTCACCATGTTGACCAGGATGGTCTCGATCTCTTGACCTCATGATCCACCCGCCTCGGCCTCCCAAAGTGCTGGCATTACAGGTGTGAGCCACTGCGCCCAGCAGTTTTTGTTTTTAAATGGCTGAATCGCATACCCTTTATAAGCACGGCAAATTTTTGAACTAGAAGCTGCTCGGTTTAACTTACATGTATATGTGTGTGTGTCTGTGTATATATATGTTTATCAATAATGTTTTTAAATTTTATTTCAATCGTTTTTGAGAAACAGGTGGTTTTGGTTTCATGGATAATTTCATTAGGAGTGACATAAGAGCTTCTGGTTCACCTACCACTTGAGCAGTGTACACAATATGTAATCTTTTTTTTTTTTTTTTGAGACGGAGTTTTGCTCTTGTTACCCAGGCTGAAGTGCAATGGCGCGATCTCAGCTCACCATAACCTCCACCTCCTGGGTTCAGGCAATTCTCCTGCCTCAGCCTCCTGAGTAGCTGAAATTACAGGCACATGCCACCATGCCCAGCTAATTTTTTGTATTTTTAGTAGAGACGGGGTTTCACCATGTTGACCAGGATGGTCTTGATCTTTTGACCTCATGATCCACCTGCATCAGCCTCCCAAAGTGCTGGGATTACAGGCTTGAGCCAGCACACCCAGCCCCAATATGCAATCTTTTATCCATCACCCCCCCCCCGCCAACCTTCCCCCTCTAGTCCCCAAAGGCCACTGTATCATTTTATGACTTTGGAGTCTCATGGAGAATACATATTTGGTTTTCCATTCCTGAGTTACTTCACTCAGAATAACGACCTCCAGCTCCAACCAGGTTGCTGTAAAGGCCATTATTTCATTCTGTTTTATGGCTCAGCATTAGTCCATGGTATGTATATTCGACATTTTCTTTGCCGATTAATTGATGGGCATTGATGCTGGTTCCATATTTTTACAATTGTAAACTCTGATGCTATAAACATGCATGTGCATTTGTCTTTTTCATATGACTTCTTTTCCTTTGGGTAGATACCCAGTGTGAGATTGCTGGATTGATGGCAGTACTGTTTCCACAGTGCTTGTACTAGCTTACATTCCCATCAGCAGTGTAAGTGTTCCCTTTGACCAAATCCGTACCAGCATAGATGATTTTTTGATTTTTTAATTATGGCCCATTCTTGCAGGAGTAAGGTGATATTACATTGTGGTTTTAATTTGAAATTCCCTGATAATTAGTGATGTTTCTGAAGAGAAATACATCCTAACAAGACTAATCGATGTTGAAAAGTTTGAAAAAAACCTGATAGACACTAATTTTTAAAAGGTTCAATTTACAGTCAAAAAGAGACCATTATAAACAATCAACAGTAGAGGGACAAGATAAATGTGCATTAAACACTTTGTTGTAATGTTTTTCAATCTCCAAAGATCATGAGCATAGCTCCTCTTCAGAGCAGAGCTCCCGATGCTTCTGCGTTCACCAATGGCACTATGTAGAACTGGTCATCTTGGGGCTGGCCTCTGTCATCACTGTCTCTGGAGTGATGGACACCTGCACATTTCTCTGTGTATTCTCTGACCTTGGAACTAGAGCTAGAGCCCCGCCAGATTAGCTGTAGGTCTTGAGATCAATTTAACTGCCACTATAGCGGAGCTAAGTGTTTCTCATTACGAATTTTGCTCCCTTCAAGAAACCAGTTTACAAGCTGGGCACAGTGGCTCATGCCTATAATCCCAGCACTTTGGGAGGCTAAGATGGGTGGATCATCTGAGACCAGGAGTTCGAGATCAGCGTGACCCATGGAGAAACAACATGGAGAAACCCATGAAGAAAGAAATTAAATAATAACATTAGTAGTCTGTAATTGCTACATAATAAAATTTACTCGTTCTGTTCAATATAAAACCTAACCCCTAGCTCTGCTTGAAATTAACTAACTCCCTATCAAATCTACCTTATCTACTCTCCCTACTTTTTCAGCAAAGTTCCCAGGCATCTCAGGACTCCTGTTTTTCTTGCAGACCAGCTGCAAGGTCACGGGGTAATATAACACCAAAGAATGTGCAATGTGTTTCTGAAAATGCGATTTTCAGCCATAACATACATCACAAGACGTCACAAGTTAACTGTTCTTTCTCTGGCTTCTGTAAACCTGTTAGTTGCTATGTCATCCTGGCTGTATAACAAATCAAGCCCTGTCTTTGTTAGGCTCTCAGCCTGGGGATGCAAATCCGCCGAGCTGGTGGCCACCTCAATAAAATCCTCCTGTTTCACCCATTGGTCGCTCCAGGCTCCTGAATATTATGTAACACCCCATCTCTACTAAAAATAGAAAATTAGCTGGGTGTGGTGGCACATGCCTGTAATCCCAGCTACTCAGGAGGCTGAGGCAGGAGAACTGCTTGAACCCAGGAGGCGGAGGTTGCTGTGAGCCAAGATCCCCCCATTGCACATTGTTGCCTAGGCAGCAAAAGCAAAACTCCATCTCCCTCCCTCCCTCCCTTCCTCCCTCCCTCCCTCCTCTCTCTCTCTCTCACACACACACACACACACACACAACACACACACACACATTCACTCACACAAAGAAACCAGTTTACAAATTGATGACAGTAGTGATTAAGAGAACTTTAGCTTCTGCAACTTTCAAATGACGTTCATTTTCTGTTAAATCCTTTACTAAAATGGCTACTAGCAATATCACCATGACAATTCAGTTTATACTATTGGCAAAGTGGTAACTTAGCAGCCATTTGAACAGCAACCAACCATCACTAGTCTCTTCTTGGTTACAAGAAGCCTCATTTCAACTGTAAATATACACTGTGGTAATTCTGAATGAAAGTCTTTAAAAATTTTTTGGGGTAGATTGTAGGTGTACATATTTATGGGGTATATATAATTATTTGATACAGGCCTATAATGTGTCATAATCATAGCAGGGTATATGGAAAATTAATCGCACCTCAAGCATGTGTTTATTTATTTATTTATTTATTTTTTTACAAATAATTCAATTATACTCTTTTAGTTACTCTAAAATGTAAATTAAATAATTCTTGACTGTTGTCACCCTGTTGTGCTTTCAAATACTAGATGTTATTTATTCTTTCCAACCAAATGTGTGCACCTATTAACCATCACCCCTTACTCCTCTCATCCTCCATACTACTTTAGCAGCAGCTGCAAACAATTCTCCTACTCTATATCTTCATGAGTTAAATTATTTTAATTTTTAGTTCCCACAAATCAGTGAGAATAGGTGAATTTTGTCTTTTTGTGTCTGGCTTAGTTCACTTAACATATCCAACCATGTTGTTGCAGATAACAGGATCTCATTCTCCTTTGTGGTTGAAGAGTGCTCCATTGAGTATATGAACCATTTTCTTTAGCCACTCATCTGTTGATGAATGCTCAGAATGCTTCCAAATCGTGGCTGCTGTGAATAGTGCTGCAACATACATGAGAATTGCAGGTATCTCTCTGACATACTGATTTCCCTTCTTTTGGGTTTATACACAGCAGTGAGATTCCTGGATTATGTGGTGGCTCTATTTTTAGTTCTGAGGACCTCCAAACTGTTCTCCATAGTGGCTGTATTTAAATTACATTCCCACTTACAGTGTACAAGGGTTACCTTTGCTCTATATCCTCACCAGCATTTGTTATTGCCTTCTCTTACAATAAGAGCCATTTTAAGTAGGTGAGATGATCTCTCATTGTAATTTTGATTCGCATTTCTCTGAACATCAATGATAGTGATGTTGAGTATCTTTTCATATACCTGTTTGCCATTGGTATGCCTTTCTTAAGGAGTTTTCAAACACGTCTCACTTTGTCAATCAGGTTGGAGTGCAATGGCAGAATACAGCTCACTGCAGCCTTGACCTCCCAGGCTCAGATAATTTTCACACCTAAGCCTCCTAAACAGCTGAAATTACAGGCACATGCCACCAAGCCGCCTAAAGTGTCCTCTTTTCAGAAAGGTCTATTCAGGTATTTTGCCCATTTTAAAAATCAGATTATTTTTTTTTCTATGGATTTATTTGAGCTCCTTAAGTATTCTGGTAATTAATCCCTTGTCAGATAGTTTTCAAATACCTCCCCCCATTCTGTGGGTTGTCACTTCACTTTTTTCACTGTTTCCTTTGTTGCGCAGAAGCTTTTTAACTTGATGTGACCTAATTTGCCCATTTTTCCTTTGGTTGCCTGTGTTTATAAAACATTATGCAAGAAATATTTGCCTAGTCCTATATTGTGGAGAGTTTTCCCAAGGTTTTATTTTAGTTTTGTATTTGAGGTTTTAGATTTAAAGCTATTTTTAGTTTTCTAAAAGACAGAGATACTGCACTACCCAGATAGTCTTGAACTCCTGAGCTCAAGCCATTCTCCCATCTTGGTCTCCCAAAATGCTGGGATTACAAGTGTGAGCCACCACGCCCAACTTAGATTTACATCTTTAATCCATTTTGATTTGATGTTTGTATAAGCTAAGAAATAAGGGCCTGGTTTCATTCTTCTGCATGTGGATATCCAGTTATCCCAGCACCCCTTACCGACAGACTGTCATTAACCCATTGCATGTGCTTGGCATCTTCATAGAGAATGAGGTCACTGCAGATGTATGAATTGGTTTCTGGGTTTCTATTGTGTTTCACTGGGCTACGTGCCTGTTTTTAATCACAGTGCCATGCTGTTCTGGTTACTACAGGTTTAGAGGGTAACTTGAAATTAGATAATGTAATTCCCCCAGGTTTGTCTGTTTATGCTCAGGGTTGACTTTGGATATTCTGAGTCTTTTGTAGTTGCCTGTATATTTTAGGATTCATTTTTTTTACTTCTATTTCTGTGAAGAATGTCATTGGTTTTTGCAGAATTGTGGAGGTTCCACGTTGGTAATCTGAGATCAGACCTGAAGGAATTCTCTAGATTAATGGGCCCAGACTCGCTTCTTCACTTACTTTCCCACAAATGAAGTCTGTCTCTCTGTGCTAAGCTGCCTGGAGCTGGGAGAGGAGTGATACAAGCACCCCTGTGGCCATGACCTCTGGGACAGCATTAGGTCTGTCCAGATGGCACTAGGAGTTGCAGTTCTTGTGACCTAAACAGTCTTTCGGGTTTATTAAGGACCCCAGACTATTTTATCCCATGGCAGCCAGGCTTTCATCACTCAAGTTCCAACCATGGAGATGAATAATTCCCCTATTGTTGGGGCTAGTCTAAATGTTTTTTCTTTGGGTGCATTCAGCTTTGTTTTGCTTTCTGCTATGACAAGGCAGGACTGAGTTCAGGCAAAGTCCTGCAGCTGCTGTGCTTTCCCTTCCCCAAGCATGTAGCCTCTCTCCTTGCCACAGGTTCAGTGGTGGCATCAACAATTCAAGACGGTCTTTTCTACGCTGTTCAGTCACATCATATGAACATTTAAATAATTTTCAGTTCTTATGGAGGTGCTTTTTTATTTAGATAGTTGCTAAAGTTGTTATTCCTGTGGGGAGCACAATTGGCAGAGACTTCTATTTGTGACTGCATACATCCTGAATCACAGTCTTATCTGGAGTAATAGGCAAATGTAAAAACAAACAAACAAAAAACCTGAAATACTAAACCTCTTGCCACAGCCTGAGGATCTTCATCTTCATACGCTTCATATGCTTCCATGTCATCAAGAGGTGTTCCTTCAGATTTTCCTAAGTGTCATCCACAAAGCCATTTTCGCTGTCTAGCAGACACTGTGAGAGCATGTCCTGGAAATGCCTCCCTGGTGCACCCTACCAACCAGCTCCAAGACCCTTCCCTTTACAGCAGTCATGAGGCCAGACTGAAAGACCCATGAAGCTCCTGTTTCAGTGTCATGTTGCCGTCTATGAGCAACCCTCATGATTTAGAAAGATTTCTTGCATTCTCACAGATAACTTGGGGCCCTTCAAGTGCTGCTGTGGTTGCATTAATGCCCTGGGAACCTCCTGAGTGTGGTGAGCATTGGGTGATGCCCCAGCAATGTTTCTCAGACTGCCTGAGGGGAACACTGGAACTTCTAACTCATCAGCCCAGTGATGCAATGCTCCTAATGGGGAGAAAACGGGCACAGGGAACTGTGGCTATTCCGTATCTCAAGGTTTCTATAAAACGGATCTTTAGAGAAAAGTGGGAGAACACTGGCAAACGCAAATACGCAATGTATGGCTCAGGGTGAAGCTATACTTCACAATGCAGAGGCCCCAGACCTGTCAATGGGCAAACAATTATTTCAAAGACCAGATGTGCGCTCCTCACAAAGAGACTAGAACTTGCAGACAGCTTGTAAAAGCCATAAGAAAATTGACTGTACTATTATGTTTCTCATTGTACACTGGTATGATATTTGCCAAAAACATTCACCAGAAAAATACTTTTTCATTTATGAGATTATTACAATGGCAATTTACCAAGACCCAACAATGAATAGTGAAAAATATGAACTATTCTTCTAAAACTGGGGAGAAAAAAAGAGTGGTGTTTATGCCCATTCTTATTATCTGCATAATGTAACCTTTAAAAGTATTTCTCAAAGTGTTCAAGTTTATGGGAGCAAATAAAGTATTCAAAAATGGTTAGAAAGTTCACAAAAACCATACAAACTTACAGATCGTTAACGGTAGTTTTCTCAAAGCGCCTGCATAAGTCCCTATTGCACACAGCCACATTGCTCCGAACCTTGATGACAACAAGAATGGCTCCGAGGATAATCCTCCTCCAGGTGGCTGAACAAATGTAGATATGAGCATACTGTATAAGTCGTTGAATGTACACCTGCAAAACAGCATTGGCCTTTGATTTAACTCAGTTTAAGTGCTGTGATAAGAACTCTTATGAAAAAGCAGAATACTTCTGGTTTTGACCAGAAAGATGCCTTTTATTCTTATGTTCGACAAAGACTTTGTTTCATCAGGTTAAGTAAGGGGCCATATCACAATCACAGCCCAAATATTTCTGCTACCTACTCTGCCCACCAAGGTAGATTAACACATCCAAGGAACAATGAACTGAGGGCAGAAGCTCTCATCACAACATACATGAGAATTGCCTGGGGATACACCCTGGGACTCAGCTTAGACCTACAATGGCATGCATTCCTGCCCATGAACCAGATGGTCTTGTTACTGTTCTTCATTCCAAGCCCTCCACATGCCCTGGATGTGAGCACACTGCATGTGCATGTGTGCACTGAAGTGTGGGGGGAGAAATCAGAAATCCCTCCTGCTGCCTTTAATGGCAATTGTTCTGTAATCATAAACCCAAGGCAATATTTAAGCCATAATGATGATTCAACTCTAATGTGTGTATTTCCTGTCATAAGTTTCTCTTAAAGTTCTTAGATAATTTCAGAAACCTATTTTCACTTAAAATCAGGAACATACTACCCTGTTTACAAGATCAATTTCTTTCTTTTTTTTTGGAAATAGAGTCCTGCTCTGTTGCCTAGGCTGAAGTACACTGGCTTAATCTTGGGTCACTGCACTCTGCCTCCTGAGTTCAAGCAATTCTCCTGCCTCAGTCTCCGAAGTGGCTGGGACTACAGGGGCATGTCACCATGAGTGGCTAATTTTTGTATTTTTGGGTGAGACAGAGTTTAACCTCGTTGGCCAGGCCGCTCTACAAGACCAATTTCTAAAGATGCTTTATAAATAGGAAATATCTTACCATACTTATGATGGCGTCAGCAACCTTTAGCCTTTTTACATATAACACGGTACGTATAAATTTGTAAATCATTGTCTCTGAAGGATCATACATAATGTATTCTTCTGTTCGGTGCTGAAAGAAGAAAGGATGCAATGTAAGTATCCATTGAAGAGAAAACCTGAAGTGCTCTTAAGACAGCAGTGTTCACATTTGTGCCCATGTACCATTTACAATGATTTTGATTGGTGAGAAGTCTTTCATTTTTTACAATATGAACAGTGGGATCTTAAAATACCATAAATAATTTAATACTCATCAACATTCACTTAAAAATCATATGAGCTAAAGGGCAGAAAATTTTTTTTCTTTTTTACTCTTTGCCCCACATAATTCTGTCTAAATGTAAGCTACCCTTAGGCTTTAATGTCTTACTGATGGCATGTCATTCTCTGCAATAAACTTTGAGAAAATACAGTTTCCTGTAACCATGAGGCTCTAAGCCTACGCTGTTAAAAACAATAGTCACTAGCCACATGTGGCTATTATGTACTTGAGGAAGTAAATTTAAAAATTTTTATAACATGAAGGTTGATATAAATTTAAATTATTTTTAACTCTTCATAAATGTCATGCTTCTGTGTTAAAAGTATTTACATATACTCATATTGCTTGATGCTACTAGTAACTGTCTTTTAAAAGATACATTTTCTGTTATTTTGATAGATTTACTCATACTAGTTCACTCACTAAACAGAGCTACAGATCAGTTCTTATTCTAACACATTCTTTTTACACCTAAGAGGACTAAATGCAACACGAAATGGGGAAAATTTAAAGACAGCTTTGACATCAGTATGAAAGAAATACAAGTCTATGATAAAAATACAACCTCAATAAAAGTGCCACTTACTTTCAATGGGTATACATGTTCATCAAATACTTTGTAAGACAGATATCCTTCTCTATAAAATAAGAATGTGCATTACTTCAGAAACTGTTAATATCTTAGCATAATACCTGTTTAGTATAAAAATGCCTCCTATGTGCTTTGGTGTTTACTTCACCAAAGCAAACAGTTTTTACAAATTATTCTCCTGGATCCCGCCCTGCAGAATGTTTTCTGACCTCTTCCTCAGCACATCATATCCTGCACTGTGAAGTCTTTTCCACAATAACCAGTCAGAACTGCCTATAGGTATCGACCCTCCCTAACAGGCAATGGCAATACACCAAACATATTTTCTCTCTTCTTCACCACCTGAAACACAAGCATGTTTTACAAAGCAGTAGTGGTGGGCAATAAAGTCTTTAGAACTTTCATAAATGTAAACGTGATTCCGATTTCCTAGCCTCCTTTCTTTTTAGTCCTCTGTAGTATACTTTCATGATGAATTTATTTATTTTCTGTTGTTTGGATTAAAAACTCATCTGCCCTTTTATTTTAAAAGAGGCTAGTCTGATTAACTTTAAACTTTGTAAAACTAATGCATTGTGCCTGTGTGATAAACCAGTGGTTCTCCAAATATACTCTGTGGACCTCTGGGGATCCCGAAGACCCTTTCTGAGAAAACCTAAGAGGTCAACACTGTTTTTTTCTTTGTTTTTTGTTTGTTTGTTTTTGTTTTTCTGAGATGGAGTTTCACTCTTGTTGCCCAGGCTAAAGTGCAATGGTGGGATCTTGGCTCACTGCGACCTCCGTCTCCCAGGTTCAGGTTATTCTCCTGTCTCAGCCTCCTGAGTAGCTGGGATTATGGGGTGCCTACCACCATGCTCAGCTAACTTTTGTATTTTTAGTAGAAATGGGGTTTCACCATGCTGGCAATGCTGGTCTTGAACTCCAGACCACAGGTGATCCATCTGCTTGGCCTCTCAAAGTGCTGGGATTATAGGCCTAAGCCACCGTGTCTGCTGAACACTGTTCTGATAATCATACTAATTCAATCTCAGAAAGTTGATACAATTTTTTTTTTACTTGAGAAAGTAATACAAAGACACTGATGACTTTTTCATAAACACCAGCCATAACTGTATAAAAGCAAAAATGGATAAAACTGCTGGTTTCTCAGCCTAAATCAAGGAAGTGGTACCAATTACATTGATGGTAATTCTGTTCTTTATTGTCCCTTACAGTTAAAAAGCAGTCTAAAATACTTAAGAATGTCTTTGTTGAGGCGGTAAAAATTAATGGTGTTACTAAATCTTGACATGTCTCTTCAATATTCTGAATCAGTAGAAAGCTAAGAAGAAGCGCTTCTGCTGACTGCAGTATGGTTGTGTTTAAGAAAAATTCATGATTTAATTGTGAGCGGAACAATCACTTTTTTCACAGATCATCATTTTTATTTAAAAGTACTACTGTGCCGGTGCAATGGTTCACACCTCTAAAATCCAAACCCTTTGGGAGACCAAAGCAGGTAGATGGCTTGAGCTCCATCAGAAGTTCAAGAGTAGCCTGGAAAGCGTGGTAAAACTCTGTCTCTACCAAAAATACGCAAAAATTAGCCAGATGTGGTGCCACACCTCTGTGGTCCCAGCTACACAAAAGTTTGAGGTGAGAGAATTGCTTGAGCTGAGATCATGCCAATGTACTACAGCCAAGTGACAAAGTGAGACTCAGTCTAAAAAAAAAAACAACTACCATTATCAAAAATAAATGAATATGTGTTCCCAATGATAAATTAAGCTTTCCTGAGGACTTTGAAAATCTCGCTCCTTCTACTGTCGGCTTGACAGCTTTTCAACACTTAAAGACTTTTAAAATAATATTGGTGGTTATAAGTGATTTTTGACACAATAAAACATAAACCAATATATTCCAAATAACTAACGCATGATAGTATAAATGCAAGTATGGGGGAAAAGATCCACTTACCATGCAAGACAGATTAGTGAGAACTGATTTTAAAAAGTAGCACTTGTCAAGTTTTCACTTATTATTAAACACCCACAGCTGTCTCAAAGCTTGAAAAATGCACCTTTTACCAACTACATATTTGCATGAGATTAGGTCATGTCATTGCTTCCCTTTTTTGACTACAGGCATGCACTATCAAGCTCAGCTGTTTTTTGTATTTTTAGTAGAGACGGGTTTCACCATGGTGGTCAGGCTGGTCTCAACCTTCTGACCTCAAATAAATCTGCCTGCCTTGGCCTCCCCAAAGTGCTGGGATTTCAGGTGCCTCCCACCACACCTGGCCATCTTATTGCTTCTTAAAGCAAATTGCAAAGAAAGACTTAGAGAATCCAGCTGTCTTCTATTAAGTGTGACATTCGGGGTTTTCAATAATATAAATACATGACACACTTTTTACTCTACTTTTTGTTGTAGAAAATCTATTTTCTCATTTAAAAATCTATGTTAACAATATTGTTCTCAAGGAGTATTTTCTGTTGTCACAACCTGGGTCATGAGTTACTACTGACATCTACTTGGTATAGGCCCCCAGTGCCGCTAAACTTTCTGCAATGCACAGGACGGTCCTTGTGACAAAGCGTTATCTAGATCAAGATATTAACAGTGGTAAGGCTGTGAAATCTAAACTAAAAATATATTTTGAAAAAAAATCTCAATTTTATAGTATAAAATTAAAATTAAATATAAATACATACTCTTTGAGATTCCCAATCATTTAAGAATTAAAAGTGTTATGAACCAAAGAAAACACAAATAATTTGCTTGGATATTTTAGTAGGCCCGATACAGCTCTCAATGTCCAGAGCTGTGACCTAAAGAGCTTCATAGCTTGCAAAGTAATTAGCCAGAATAACAAGACAGTTTTTTTAAAAGCTCACCTTTTCTTGATAAAAAAATATAAGTCCCAGGCGACACTGTGGAAGGAAAAACATTCAATATAACAATAGATATTATCAATTGTTAGGTCTGAAGACATTTTTTTTTAAAAGGGTGTGGTGGAAACTCTCCTAGAGGCCCTGAAATTAAAACCTTGTCGTTCAGAAAAGTATCATAAAGGCACTTTGTTTTCATTTCTTGGGTTTTAGCAAAAATATGAGAATAAAAATGCAAGGCAATACAATACCCTGTTAGAAAACATGTTTCTGCTGATGATTATAATTTATAAATAATAACATATTTCCCTGTTATATGTTCTTCTACCCACAAAACCTTTAATCACATGCAATTTATTTTATGTATTTATTGTGTGACCCAGAGTCTTCCTCTGTTGCCCAGAGCAACCTTGGCTCACCACAACCTCCACCTGCCGAGTTCAAGCAATTCTCATGCCTCAGCCTCCCAATTAGCTGAGACTACAGGTTGGTGCCACTATGCCCGGCTAATTTTTGTATTTTTAATAGGGATGGGGTTTTGCCATGATGGTCAGGTTGATCTCAAACTCCTGGCCTCAAGTGATCTGCCTGCCTCAGCCAAGTTCTGGGATTACAGCTTGAGCCACCACACCCTGACTCATGCAATTTATATCTATGGCTTTTGCATAATTATTAGAAAATATATCAGTAAACATAAGCTCACATGACATCAATAATAGGTACAGCAATCCTAAAATAAGCAGTGCTAACAAGGTAGTGTAGCACGATACAGTGTAATATCAATGGCAGGTATCTTCAGTTAGTTTAACGAAATATTTATGAACACACAAAACTCTTCAGATATATGTAACTGTATTCCTAAGTTACCCACTGATGCTCTGTTTCAGAAAACAAGAGGTTCTCTTACATAAGTTATGTGCTTCCATTTGCCCTCAGTGTCTACAATGAGGTTCAAAATAACTGAGGGAAGGCAAATCTCAATTTTAATAATAGGTCAATACAATATCAGCACTTTTTAGAAAGCCTGTAACATTAGCACTTCAGAGGGATACTTCTATAGTGTGTTAAGTAGTTTTCATCGCTGAAAAAATTTTAAAATCACAGAATTTGAAGTTATATGCTGGACAGGACCAATGACCTTACAAGACATTTAATCCAACACTAATTTTACAGGTCAGGGAAACAAATCTTAAAACTGACTTGCCCAAGGTCCAAATAGGAGCAGTTTCTTGCCCTAAACTCGAATTAGGCAGTGGCTCTAAATTTTGCTGCACATTAAAATCACCTGAGAAGACTTAATAACTGCCTCATTTTCAATAATTAGCATTGGATATAACTTTGGCCATCAGGGTTGCTGGTAAAAGTTTCCCAGGTGATTTCAATGTGCAGCAAAATTTGAAATGATTGAGTTGTGATGAAAATCAGAACCTTCTGGAATGCTTTTCTTCACATAAAGATGCTATGTTTTCCTAAAAGGCTTCTCAGTGCCTGGAGAAAGAGGGAAAGTGGAGATTGGAGGATACATGTATTTATTTGCAGACATGTATTTTGAAGACAAACTTTGCAAAAGTGATCCCAATGAGTTCCACCTATCCCACTGATAACAGTGCACTACTAATTTGTGATGAACGTTTTTCAAAATCTTTTCCTGAAGCCAATTTGCCCTATTAATTTGCTCAATAAACCTCTATTTCACCAAGAGTGAATACACCAAATGATCATCTCAAACTTGCTGATGGCAAATTAAAACTTACTTTACTTTTAAAAGTAGACTTCTAAAAATTAGAAGAATGAGGAAAAAAGCATGAAATTTGTTTGAACAAGACTATCTTCAAAGCTACTTTGGCATGCTATGCTAACACATAAAAATCGCTTGCATTCAAAAGCAGCCAGGGACTTTAGCCAAAGTAGTTTTTTTGTTTTTATGCGCAAAGATTTAAGAGACAGCCAGGTGTGGTGGCTCATGCCTGTAATCCCAGCACTTTTGGAGGCAGAGGTGGGCAGATCACCTAAGATTGAGAGTTCAAGACCAGCCTGACTAACACGGAGAAACCTCAACTCTCCAAAAAAACAACAAAAAAACCAAAATCAGCTGGCTGTGGTGGTGCATGCCTGTAATCTTAGCTACTTGGGAGGCTGAGGCAGAATTGCTTGAACCTGGGAGGTGGAGGTTGTGGTGAGTCAAGACAGTGCCATTGAACTCCAGTCTGGGCAATAAGACAAGAGGAAAACTCCATCTCAAAAAGAAAAAAAGAAAAGAAACAAGAAGAAAAAAATTGAAGAAACTTGGCTGACTACAGACATTTAGTGATTACTCAATAGGTCCCAAAGCTCAGCACCTAAGACATAATTTGATTCCAATTTGTGCTGAAACAAAATTTCATCTCAACTATTGTTATAAGGGAGGGAGAAAAGTGACATTATTATGAGTGTAAACCTGCCATTTTTAATTAAAGTAAAAGTTACTGAAAATTGAATTTGCTAAAAAGGCTAGTGCATTCAAAACAAAATTGTTTATAAGATAGCTAGTTATATTTCTAGAATGAAAAGAAAACTTAAATATAAGGACATTAATATTCTAAATTAGCACGTTGCAAACTGTGCTCTAAAAATCAACACTCATAACCAAGGAGATGATAATAATGTACCATGGACAGCCCCTGTGGTGATGGTGTTGGTGGTTGTTCCTTTTAAAAAATAAACTTCATCCAGAGTGCTCTCAAAGTGCATCTTTGTGGCCCATGAGGAGCTCATGCACGATGGGAGAAATTCAAATGCAGATACACTGTGGTGCCAGAGGAGAAAAAACTGTTCCTTCTTCTAAGACTAATGTCCAAAGTAGTACACATTGACTGAGGCCTGCAACGCATTGAAAAACTAATTTTTCATAAAAAACATTCAATAAAGACAACCTATTCTTCTCACTGCATTCAATATTCTTTTAAGGCATAAAAAAAAGCAACACCTTTTCTGAAATTGCTTATTTGCTAAGAGATTTTTCCTTCCACCATGATGTAGAAGATGAAAAGAGAAATTGATACTTAATATTTAGAATCTGGTATCAACATAGAGTTGACTCCAATTTCTTAAACTGGTTGAAAAGGACAATCAAATGGCTGAAATAATTTTAATAGTTGTACTCACGATTTTAGTGTCGTTTCAAAATGAGGGCAGCTGGCTGTGCTGTCTTCAAGGAAAATTGTCGAGCATGAACTGAATTTCAAAGACAAACGATCCATATATATCTAAAGAAGAAAGGAAGGATAAGGTAAACTTATCAAAGTGTGTTTCTTTTTTCTCAGTTAAAATGTCAAATGACGAAGCACTAAGATATTTCTTACACTCCATGAACTGCCTGAGTGTGATATCATGTGCACTGTATAGAAAAACCAGTGGAGGCTCTTAACTTCCAGAGGTGATATTGAGATATGGGTTAGAAAATGCTGCTCTTAATATGCTACCTGTCATCAAACCTAACAAAGATTTTATGAATTCTCTTTCTAAATAATGACAAGAGTTTAAAATACAATTTCATTGTTTTTTCTACCATGATATAAAGCAGCTGAGAATTTCTATTAATTTATTACAATAAAATGTATTGTATTAAATAATACTGGTACAAGAGAAATTTATTGTAATGAATACACGACTAATGTATTTACAAACTTACTAATCCTACTATTATTTCAGGCAATATGGTGACAAAACAGGTGTTTCACATTCAGAGATTCTGTGTGCCAGGGTTGCTAGGCCACCACCAAGTGAGGAAGCCATAGGTTTCTCTAGTCCTGTTTTCTTATGTGGAGGATAAAAAGATTATCACTGAAATATTCTCTCACACCCTGAAAACAGATAACAACTTAAAAAATTTAACTTTCACTTCATGTTTAAATAAGACTGCCATGACATGACTCAAATGAAACTCTCAGAGAATACTTGCCATTCATTTCAAAAGTTGATTGATTTCATTCTATAAATCATCTGACCTGTACCTAGGCATTTTCCTGCTATACCCTTGCTCTCTGCCTAGAAGACTGTTTTTCTCTCTCCTTGTTTCAGGACGCTTGATTCCCTCTACCTTCTTGGATCTTTCTGCCAGCAGCCACACACAAAAAAAGTTTTGTTTTTGTTTTTTTATACACTAATTAATTTTACCACTGGTTACAAGATACTAATTCTTGCCGAGTATTTCCCTCATGAGAAAGTATGCCTCTCCATAAGAATAAGGGAGGGCTCTTACTCTTTCTACCTCCAGCTGCTGAGCACAGAATTTTGAATAAATCAAAAACTTAAACAAGTATTTAATAAATTAATTCAGTTATAATTTGGAAAATAAGTCTTACTAAACTTAATTACACCAAAAACACTCCTAATGGTTTACTGTTTATAGGTATTATTTAAGGTAGTGAACAAAAACAAAAAAAACCCAAATCATCTAACTGCAGTCAGCATGAATAAAGAGTGTGAAATTTTATGATCTTTAACAAGAAGTGGAAGGGGTTACATAGTAGGTTAACAACAAAAACTAGAAAATAATTACACCTAGTAATTTAGTAAGTCAAAACCAAAGGCTTACCATCAAAGGTCCATGTAGAGGTCTTTCACTTCCTTGGTTAAGTCTATTCCTAAGTATTTTATTTTATTTTTTCAACTATTATAAAAAAGGCTGAGTTTTTTATAACTCTGTTATACCCTCAGCATTCGCGGTTAGGGTATAACAGAGTTACTGATTTGTGTACGCTAATTTTGTCTCCTGAAACCTTGCTAAATTCATTTATCAGTTTCTTGGAGCTTTCTCGGGGAGTCTTTGGGGATTTCTAAGTATAAAATCATCTCAGCAGCAAACAGTGACAGTTTGAATTCCTATTTACTGATCTGGATGCCCTTTATTTCTTTCTCTTGTGTGATTGCTCTGGCTAGATTGTCCAGTACTATGCTGAATGTAAGTGATGAGACTGGGGCATCCTTGTCTTGTTCCAGTTCTCAAGGGGAATGCTTTTAACTTTTCCCTCTTCAGAATTATGTTGGCTGTGCGTTTGTCATAGATGGCTTTTATTACATTGGGGTATGACCTTTGTATGCCAATTTTGCTGAGGGTTTTCATCATTAAAAATGCTGGATTTTGTCAAATGCTTTTTCTGTGTCTATTGAGATGATCGTGTGATTTTTTTTTTGAATTCTGTTTACGTGGTGTGTCACATTTATTGACCTGTGTTATGTTCAACTATCCCTGGATCCCTGGTATGAAACCCATTTCATCACGGTGATCTTTTTAATATGCAGTTGGGAAGGACAAAACATTGCTGAATGAAATGATGGACACAAACAAAAGGAAAGACATCTTTTGCTCATGAATGAATATTGTAAAATTCATTCATGAGCAATATTGTAAAATATTGTAAAAATGAGCATATTGCCAAAAGCAATCTACAAATTCAATGAAATTTCCATCAAAATACCATAATCCTTCTTCACAAACGTAGAAAAAAATAATACTAAAAGTGATATGGGACCAAACAAGACTCCACATAGCAAAATCAAAATTAAGCAAAAACAACAAATCTGGAGGCATCAATCACATTCCCTAATTTCAAACTATACTATAAAGCCGTAGTTACTACAACAGCACGAAACTGTTATAAACACAGGCACATACACCAATGGAACAGAAGAAAGAACCCAGAAATAAACCCAAAAATTTATAGCCAAATGATCTTCAACAAAGCCAACTCAAATATAAAGTGAAGAAAGCAAACCCTATTCAACAAATTATGCTAGAATAATTGGCAAGCCATATGCAGGAAAATGAAACTGGATCCTCAACTATCACCATACACAAAAATCAACTCAAGATGAATCAAGCACATAAATCTATGCCTGAAACCATAAAAATTCTAGAAGACAACCTTAGAAAAACCCTTCTAGACACTGGCTTAGGCAAAGACTTCAGGACCAAGAATGCAAAAGCAAATGCAACAAAAACAAACAGGTAAGACTTAACTGAAGAGCTTCTGCACAGGGAAAGGAACGATTGGCAGAGTAAACAGACAACCCACAGAGTGGGAGAAAGTCTTCACACTCCTATATATCTGACAAAGGGCTATTATCCAGAATCTACAAGGAACTCAAACAAATTACAATTTACAAATTTCAATTACAGAAACACGCAACCAGCCCAAATGCCCAAAAGTCAATGAAGGGATAAAAAAATGTGACATACGTGCATATATTTTATATACATATTATATATATGATGGAATACCACTCAGTTACAATAAGGAATAAATTAATGGCATTCCCAGGAACCTCGATGGAATTGGAGATTATTATTCTAAGTGAAGTAACTCAGGCTTAAACATTGTATATTCTCTTTCATACATGGGAGCTAAGCTACGAGGATGCAAAGGCATAAGAATAATACAACAAACTCTGGAAACTCAGGGCAAAGTGTGGGAAAAGGGTGAGGAATAAAAGACTACAAATCAGGTTTAGTGGATACTGATCAGGTGATGGGTACACCAAAATCTCACATATCATCACTAAAGAACTTACTCATGTAACCAAATACCACCTGTTCCCCCCAAAACCAACCAAAATAAAAAATAAATAAACTACAGCAATCTTCTCAGCAAACATAAATAAAATAAAATAAAAACTAAAGTTTATGTTTTTCTCTCTCCTTTTTGGCAGGAAAAATTTTAGGCATGTCTTTAAACTATTAATAACTTTTTTCCTTTTTCTGAGACAAGGTCTGACTTTGTCACTCAGGCTGGAGGGCAGTGGTGCAATGATGGTTAACTGCAGCCTCAAACTCCTATGCTCAAGCAATCCTCTGAGTAGGTAAAACTAAAAAGATATGCCACTATGCCTGGCTAATTTGTTAGTTCACCATTTTGTAGAGAAGAGGTCTTGCTTTGTTGACCAGGCTAAAAATAAACATATCTTAATTAACTTAAATATCTGTAACACTGTGAGCATTCATGAAAAGAGCTCCATCTATGTTATGAAGTAATAAGATAATATGACAGCATATGAAGTTTGAATGATAATAACAAACAAGGCCTTAGAAGACAACTGTAACAAGCTTATCATAGATACATCACTAGAAAATTGTCTGGGTTAATATCATTAATGATATTAAAATTAAACTTTGATTTGCACTTTAATATAGGTCCTAAATTTGGATTAAATATAATAGATTGATCACAAACTTATTTCCTCTCCCTCTAGACATCTCATTAGTCACAAGATAAAGGTGAAGAGAGAAGGTTGAAAAGAGATAATTTTTAATAAATACTGAGGCATAAAAAGTAGATAAAAGAGTGGTAAATAACACAGAAGCACAACTATGATGCCTCAAGAAAGTAACTGGAGGCCGGGCAAGGAGGTTCACACCTATAATCCTACCACTTTGGGAAGCCATGGAATTCAAGAACAGCCAGGCCAAGATGGTGAAACCCCATCTCTACTAAAAATACAAAAATCAGCTGGCTGTGATGGCAGTTGCCTGCAATCCCAGCTACTCAGGAGGCTGAGCAGAGAATTGCTTGAACCAAGGAGGCAAAGGTTGCAGTGAGCTGAGATGTCACCACTGCACTCCAGCCCAGGTGACAAACCAAGACTGTCTCAAAAAAAAAAAAAAAAAAAAGAGAAAGTGACTGCAACAGAAGCAAGTAGTTTGTCTTGTAGAACTAAAGGTGGGCTGTGAACTTAGAGGCAAATAGCACTTTAAAAAGTAGTGCAAAATGTAAAACAAAGCCACCAAGGTCAGTTGAAAATCTGTGGTTAGAGACTCACATCCACCTATTCTCCCATATGATAAGAAACTTAAATGTGTGTTCCCTGGATATACCAAACCTGAGAATTTCTGGCTCCCAACTACCAAAGATTAAACCTGAGATATAAAGAAAACTATACACCAAAAATGGAACTCCAACTTGCTTCCCTAACTCTGCTTTTGAATAGCAAGTAGCCAGGCAGAAACTTGGAAGAACATTCTCAAGTAACTAAACTGTCTTGAATAAAGATCCCCAGGTAATACACTGAGGTCTCCCAAATGAAAAGCAAGTTGCTTCCACAACCTCACACTGAGTGCCATCAGTTAACAGAAGTCCTGCTTCCAAATCAAGCAAGCAAGCCAGGGACCACCACACGTTGGAGAAAAGCCTCCAACAAGAGAGACTGAAACAACACACACAAAATTCATGGGACCAGTCAAAATCGAGAGCAAAACTTTTTTTAAAATGTTAAAACGCTCTGAAAATATATATTTAAAAAATTGAAGGGAAAAAATTGAAAACCAAAGCAGGTCTACTGGTCTAAGCAGCATAGTGCCTGAGTAACACGAGTATCAGAAAAAAGGAACAGAGAAAATAAAAAACATTCTCAAAAAAAGAGACTCTGCAGACTTAGTAGCCTCAGTAAAATGAAAAGATCCCCGCCAGGCTGTTATTATTAAATTTCAGAATCTGAGATAGAAAAGCTCCAAAAACACATAAAAACGTGGTTATAAATAACATGTCACGCAATGGCAGTAGATTCAAAAATAACAGGGTGATGAGAGCACAATTGCAGAATATCTTCAGAACCATAAAATTTAAATTCGACCTAGAAGTTTACTCTCTATCAAGAAAGAATTTTAAGACTGGTCAGATCTCTAAACATCTCTGCCCAGGAATGTGTGCTTAAGTACAACTAGAGAGGATAACAGGACAGAAGGAAACACAGAATCTAGAACTCACGTGATCCTACACAAGGAGGCAGTTATGTGAGATTCCCAAAAGACTTTAAAGAGAGCACAGATAGACTAAGACATCAAGTATATCTAGGTAAAGCCACTCTATACTAAACTAGAATGACAAAAGGCCAAAAAGAGGCTGCCCACCAACCGCCAAAAACAAAGAGGAACAGATATGTTTTAGCAGATGGAAAATATCTTTGAAAGGCATGTGATAAAAGCTACAACACTTGAGTGTGTAAGGGGGGGAATCAGCTGTTAAAAAACAGGCAAATGAATATAGTCAGGAAATCAGCTTCATGCTAAAAAATAATGTAAAATGTAAATTACATGTAAAATATAATTTAACAATAATTATTATTTTTCAATAAAGTCACAGACCATCCAGAGGCTACGTATTGCATTTGGCTGGATAAACCAGCATAGGCCAGGAAAAAAAGATGATCCAGAAAAAGTGCAGAAGTGCTCAGGTTTCAGAACTGTTTCAGAGAAAGGATGAAGAAATATGTAATAAAGAGACACAGTGAAAACAACATATAACTGAGCAGTGAATATGTGGATAGTCATAATTGTCAAAATTACTGATTGAATTAAAAAGTGTGCTACAATTGAAAGAAACAGAGGGAGAAAAATAAGGTCATGGTTAGCAAGAGAGATAAGCTTTCACCTGCTGTGACAGAGGGTCAATAGACCATACTGACAATGAACTTAGCTCTTCTATTTTTGTTGTTTCATTAAAAATAAGATTAAGTATTTAAAGCAGGTCTTTATACCACAACCAACTATTGAAATTTAACTTAAGTGTCAGAAATCCTTAAAAGGTGGGCACACTAAGCTGAAGACTTTTTGAAATAAATTTAATAGGAAAGTAGAAGAGATTCAGAAAATCCATGAAACGAGGTCCACTCTACCACCACTGGGTCCCCATTAGAATAAAAAGTAATCAAGAGACATACTTTTGTATCAAACTATCAATTCCTCAACTTTTTGACTGTTTACTTACATGGTTTCTACGGCTGTTTTCTCCTATTTCTTGTGCTAAGAATAAAAGAAAAAAAGGTCACTTCTGACACAAATAATATAAAATAAAAGTAGTTGTTAACATCTTACTGACTACTCCTATGTACAATCAGAGAAAATTCCATTTAAAAAAATTAATTTCAACAATTTATAATTTAAATTCTCTGGAATGAAAAATCTCATAAAGTAAAATATAAAAACTCAGTTTTATTTTTTGACCTAGGTTACTTTCTGTTTTGTTAAATACGAGTGAAATAATGCTCATGTAAAAAAAGGCACAAAAATTAGGCCAGATAAAAAATTTAGCTAATTAAGAAATTTAATTGTTGCATATATGAGCCATGATCCCTTAGTATTCTCCCATTCTGGATTTACATATAGCTTAATTACCAGAATCTAAGAGCTAACAGCTCTAAGAACTACTTGCTGGCCAGGCACCTATCTCTAGATGCATCAGAATCCCTGTAAGCCTCTCCAATCACAGTTAGTGGTCATCTACTAAAATGTCGCTACAAAAAAAAACAAACAAAAATGGGGTCTTTACACAACTGAAAAGTAACCAATCTTAAATTTAATCTTTTGTTTGTTCTTTTTTTTTTTCTTGATATGGAGGAGTCTATCTCCGTCACCCAGGCTGGAGTACAATGGTGTGACCTTGGCTTACTGCAACCTCCACCTTCGGGGTTCAAACGATTCTCCTGCCTCAGCCTCTGAGTAACTGGGATTAGAGGTGCACCATACCATGCCCAGCTAGTATTTGTTTTAGTAGAAACGGGGTTTCAGCATTTTGGTCAGGCTGGTCTTGAACTCCTGACGTCATGATTCACCCACCTCCACCTCCCAAAGTGCTGGGATTACAGGCATGAGCCACCACACCCAGCCAAATTTAAATATTAAAATAAGTAGACAAATTTGGATGTGGTGTTCTGCAGCAAAAAAAAAAAAAAAAAAAGGTGAAATAATAAAAGCTTCAAGAGGGATTTGGGCCATGCTTTGTTTCTTTGTTTCTTACACTGCCTCCACCTTTAATGCCGGAAGGGCCTTGTAGGCAAACATTCCTATCACTGAAGTGTGAGGGACATGGAATAGCTTTTTTTTCTGCTTTCATGCTCTCCAGGTGTGATAAGCCCATGTCTCTGGAAGGAAGTGGGAAATACACCTCTGATATGGATATGTCTCCCTCTCCAAATCTCATGTTAAAATGGGACCCTTAATGCTGAGGACAAGGCCTAGTGAGAAGTGTTTCGATAACAGTGGAGCATTCCTTATAAATGTCTTGGTGCCATTCCCATGGGAAGAAGCAAATTCTCATTTTGGTATTAAACCAATATGAGTTTTTATTTTTATTTGAACAAAAGTGTTTTATTGAGAGAGAGAGAGAGAGACAGAGAGAGAGAGAGAGAGAGAGAGAGAGAGAGAGAGATAGAAACAGAGAAGAAAGCTTCCACAAGAGAGAGTGTGTGGCAGTGGGACCCCAGAGGGAAAATCCAGGAGGGGAAGGAGACCTCCGACTATGTCGAATAATATGAGTTTTTCTAAATAGTTTTTATAATCCATCTGATCAAACAAGATTTTTCACTTTTTCTTGGCAGAAAAAACAATGTTGTCTCACTACCTGTTTGGGATTTCCTTGTTTCAGAAGGGTTGGACTCCAAAGCCCTATCTATACAGAGAAAAAAGAAAAAATACATAATCACTTATAACAATTTATTAACTCATTTATTCAAAAAGAAAGCCATTTCTACCCCTACTTTTATTCCATTGGGAAATGGACAAAGAATTAAACATAAAGATAAATCTAAGACTCCTCCACTACATGATAAAAAGATGGAAAAATGTATAAACAAAAAGTGAACATGTTTTCACTAACATGATAAGCAAAGTATATCACATGTTAACATAACACAAGTGAATACGTGAAAATTTTAAAAATTTAAACCAATATGAGTTCTGCTAAACTCTTTCTATTATACACCTCATCAAACAAGAGTTTTCACTGTTTTTCTTGGTGGAAAAAAACACTGTTGGCTCACCAACTGCTTCAGATTTCTTTGTTTCTGGATGATCAGAAGGGTCAAACTCCAAAGCCCCATCTATACAGAGAGAAAAGAAAAAATATGTAATCATTTATAACAATGGATCAACTCATTTATTGGACATGGAAGCCATCTCACTACTTCTACTTTTATTCTTATCCATTGGGAAAAGGGACAAAGAATTAAACATAAAGATAAATCTAAAACTCCTCCATTACATGACAAATTGTGTTGATAAAAAGTTGGGAAAATGTATAAACAAAAAGTGGACATATTTTCACTAACATAAAAATGAAAAAAAGTATATCTCATGTTAAAATAGCACAAGTGAGTATGTCAAAATTTTAAAAATTTACACCAATATGAGTTCTGCTAAACACTTTCTATTATACACCTCATCAAACAAGAGTTTTCACTCTTCTTCTTGGTAGAAAAAAACAATGTTGTCTCACCATCTGCTGGATATTTCATTGATTCTGGATGATCAGAAGGGTTGGATTCCAAAGCCCTATCTATACAGAGAGAAAAGAAAAATATGTAATGACTTATAACAATTTATCAACTCATTTATTCAACAAGGAAGCCATCTCACTACCTCTACTTTTATTCTTATCCATTGGGAAAAGGGACAAAGAATTAAACATAAAGATAAATCTAAGATTCCTCCACTACATGACAAATTGTGTTGATAAGAAGATGGGAAAATGTAAACAAAAAGTTGAAATTTTCACTAACATAACAAGTAAAGTATATCACGTGTTAAAATAACACAAGTGAATAAGTGAAAATTTTAAAAATTTAAACCAATATGAGTTCTGCTAAACACTTTCTATTATACAAATCATTAAACAAGAGTTTTTACTCTTTCTCCTGGTGGAAAAAAACAATGTTGTCTCACCAACTGCTTGAGATTTCTTTGCTTCTCGATGATCAGAAGGATCGGATTCCAAAGCCCTACCTATACAGAGAGAAAAGAAAAAAGATGTGATCATTATAACAATTTATCAACTCATTTATTCTACAAGGAGGCCATTTTAATACCCCTACTTTTATTCTTATCCATTGAAATGAATGTATAGAAATAAGATGAGGGCAGATAAGGTGGCACATGCCTGTATTCCGAGATACTCAGGAGGATGAGAAAAGGAAATCCCTCAAAGCCAAGTCTGGAATTTAGGCCAGAGTAACATAGTAAGACTCTTTTTTATTTAAAAAATAGAAAGAAGTAAATGTTCCCTTTGAGTTGTGTAAAATCAACTTTGCATAAAATAAATCAAGATGGCAATACATTTTAAAAGCAAGGCCTATTTTATAGACAAAGTATAAGATGTATTCTGGAGTTTAAAAATTTTTTAAAAAGTAAATTCAGCATATTTGTCACTTCCACGACATTCTGAAGACAAAAAATATTAGCTCTGTTGAGCAGCTGTCTTCCATAGTCATGTGAGATCTCTGTCTTCATTTCTTCATTAGGAATAAAGAGGGAGAACATACACAAGTCTTCTTTGTATTGGAAGGGGCCAAAAGAGACATACATAAACTGTATTGTAATCCTAAAGAATAGCAATAGCCTTTTTTGTTCACTAATCCAACACCACCCATCTATGAACTGTTGTGTAAAATCACTCACAGGCTTTCCTTACACCAGCAACCAGAGTATAAGTTTACACAAGTACTTACACATTTTGTGTATAAAGGTATAATCAATTCACATATTTGTTTATTCAAAATTCTTAAACATCTTGAAAAGTGAGTATAGTACTCCAAATTACAATGTCACGTTCATCATGAATGTTAATTATTCTACCTCTGGAAAAAACTAAGAGCCAAACCAATGCTGGTTTTTTTGTTTTGTTGTGTTTTTTTTTTTTTTAAGTTCTGAGATACATGTGCAGAATGTGTAGCTTTGTTACATAAGTATACATGTGCCCTGGTGGTTTGCTGCATCTATAAATGCATCATTGAGGTTTTAAAACCCACATGCATTAGGTATTTGGTTCAATGTTCGCGATCGCCTTACACCCCACCCAACAACGAACCCCCCAGTGTGTGATGTTCTCCTCCCTGTGTCCATGTGTTCTCATTATTCAACTACCACTTACGAGAGAGAATATGTGAAGTTTAGTTTTTGTTCCTGTGTTAGTTTGCTGAGAAAGATGGCTTCCAGCTTCTTATGCTTTACTTTCTTTTTTTTTTTTAATTTTTTAATTTTTTTAAAGGCTGGTCAAGTGAAGCAGTGGGAGTGGAGAAGGAACAAAGAAATCTGTAACTGGTTGTGCTTTACTTTCTTATCTTTGAACAAGATTCTATTGTCAGGTGGAGGAAGGAGAAAGGGGGAGCCATGGCAGCAAACACTCTTCCACAGTTTTAAACTTCAATCTTTATGTTACATGTTAAAAGTCTACATTGACGTTTCATGTCTTTTGAAAGTTTTGACCACGAACCAACCCTACCTCTCTTCTAGAACAAGAAGGTAAATAAAGTCTGTTAAATCACCAGACTAAATCTAGAGACACATTTTGTGTTAAAGTAAGAATTTTAAAGTCATCAGAGCCTCATAGGTAAACTCCTTTGGAGGAAAACAAAAACCCATTTTTCTGCAGCCCTGGCCATGACATTTCATACCTTTCACAATTATTTAAGCACCCCTCCCATTTTCTTTCCTTTTGCATTCAAATTACAGTTAGAAAAAAAAATAAGCACCTATCAAGGTGACTTAAAGCAACCCATTAAGAATATCCTATCATCTCTCCCATGGCAAACTTCATTCTGATTTCAAAGAAGAAATCGCCAAATACTTCAGTATGAATTGTCCTAGGATTTAGCTACTTTAATGAAGGAAATAATTAGGCACTTACCTGGTTCCTTCACTTAGGTACCATCTGGATAGGTACAAAAAAAAAATGAGATGGCTACTGGAAAGTTGGGGTATTTGAGTTTTTATTGAAAAAAGGAAGAGATATTAAAAAAAAAAAGCCTCAACAAAATCCCACAGAATAAACAGAGCTACAGACAAGCAGAGACATAAATTGTCCCAGGCCAGCCTGAGAGAATGAGATGAGGGAGCAAGAACTGGGTGTTTGGGAGGGGAGGAGAAAAGAAATTGACTGGACTCCGTGAAGAAAGACTAAGTGGTTGAAAAAGGAACACAAGGCAGAACCAGCCTTTGTTTCTGACCAGCCCTGGAAAAGCTGGCTACAGGCAAAAAGGAGCCTGGGGTAGGGAATGGCCCCCAGAGGACCTTGAAGACAAGAGCAGCCAGAGGGGTGGCCAGGGCAGATGGCACCGTCACCTCCTTACCTTCAGGCATCTCCCCATCACAGATGTCATGCACAGGAAGGCCCTCACCAGCTTCAACAGTCAACTCAGCAGGTTCTATGGCAGCAGCAGTGGGTGCTGCTGCTGTCGTGTCCTCAGCTGTTGCTTCACAGATTTTACACTCTGGAGGACACCCTGACACCTCATCATCGTCCGACTTGGGGCACACACAGCAGCACAGTATGTTCCCCATGGGGAACCTCTACTCCTGTCTGCTGCCACCTGTGCCTCCGCTCACAGTGTTGACCAGGCACTCCTGCTGCCCTAGGCAGAGGCTATGCTGCACTTTCAGAGATGGTCTTGCCCACTGCTCACCTGCCCACCCCACAGCCCGGCCCCAGCCGGGGCTCGGGCCGAGGCCCACACCCTGCTGCCTCCTAAGTTGACTTGTCCGGGAGGGTCAGAAACAGCTGGCTAATTTAATAGGTTGGGAACCCAACGAGCGCTGAGTGATACAACTGTCTGAAGAGTACAAAAGGAGCTATTACTCCTTCTGCAGTCAAATACAGACTGAAGCCCACTGGCCCAGGTGGAAGCCCAGGCACGTGACTCACAGTGCCCTGCCCCACACCTCACAATGCCTCACCCTGGCTACCACCCCTCCCTGTTGCCCGGGCTACCCCACCCTGTGGCTTATGATGCCACTGCTCTCCTGGCCCCTCCTTCAGTGCCAGTGGAACTAAGGTTTTCATTCATCACCCACCAGCTTCCTGAGCTTTTTAGTCCTAAAAACAGTGTGGCTCATTACTGGAAGCCATTTTCCTCTAGTTCTATACAAAGTGGCAGTTAGCAGAGTGGGTCCCATTAGCAACCAGTTGAACTTTTATTTGTTGACTCAATGTAGATAAACCTGAAATATTCCTCTCCTGTCTTTCAATGAGTGGTAGTTTTTGTCTGCAACTTCACCAAAGCAATCCCTAGGGCCCTAGCTCTACTCTCACAAAGGAGTTATGACTGTGTGTTTTGAATGACACCTTAGAACCCATCCTGCCTCCACCTCCTTCTCCAGAAAATAGAAACCTAACTTGTCCCCCCAAGCTCTAAAGTGCTGAAACTTACCAACTTCCTTTTCTCCTCTGTTTCTTCCTTCCATGGCAGGGACTTTTAGATTTTCTCTCTTTTACTAACAAACTTCTAAGTATGACTTTGTTATACAAAATCAAGAGCCATTAGGTGGGTTACCAAAGTGTGAGCATGTGGAGGAGGAACTGTCAAACACATATAAAACCATCAGATCTCATGAAAACTCACACTATCACAAGAACAGCATATAAGAAACTGCCCCCATGATCCACTTACCTCCCATTGAGTCCCTCCCTCAACATGTGGGGATTATAAAAATTACAATGCAAGATGAGATTTGGGTGGGGACATGACCAAACCGTATCAGAAAGTACAGGTAGAAGTCAAGCTTGGAAGGGAAGTGACATTATAGACTGGCATATTTAAAAAAAAATAATTTTTTAATGTAAATTTTAAAATGCCTCCTCTTCATTCAACATTGATGAAGTCCCTTCTACATGCCAGACACTGTATGTGTGAAACAGTCCCAAATTTCAATGAGGGTAGGCAGATACACAAAGGCTTAAGAAGTTCAGTTTTCTGAGATCACACTACTGAACAGTGTAGGAATCTGAGATACAAACCCACCTCTATCTGACCCCAAATTTGACACTGCGGTGACTTCAATTTTATTCTGAAAAATTGAGTCATTGAACCATACGAAGGTGAGGAGTCTCTGTCAGATGTGTGTGTAGTGGTCTGTATAATAAGGAAAAACTGAAGGAAGCAACAGACCAATTAAGAGACTATCTAAAGGAAGACTGATGCAAAAGGCAGTGGCAGTGACAAAAGTGAGGGAAAAAATTTTGTGATTATTGGGGAGACAGAATAGGAAGTACTTGGTCATAAGATGTGAAAGCAGAAAAGTAGAGAAAAAAACAGGGCTGCTCGGGCTCTGTTGGGGAAGACCGGTTACAGAGTTGTACCTTTCTCCTGGCAGAGAATGTAGGGAGAAATAGGTAAGGAGGAAAAGACAGTTTTTTACGCTCAGTGTCACATTAAAATGGAACTCTCTGGTCAAAGTTGAATATAAATCTCTGTAGGCTAAGTCCATTTGTGACATCCCAACATATGTTTTTAAAAATAACACACATACTAAATCAAACCATTTACAGTAATGGGAAATTTCCTAAAATTTACATGCTAAGTATATCACCATTTTTTCTTACTTTCATGGAGCAACTCTGAATCTATGGTTAGAGCAAATGAGGGATCTTACAAAAAATAAAAACTAATATTTTAAATTTAAAATTCTATTGTCCTCAGCGAATAGAGAAAGCAACTGAAGCCATGGGCATGGAAGTGATTGCCCTGAGAAGTTGTGTATACTAAGAAGAACTAGAAAGAAGACCTGGAGAATAGGGGGATATATACAACATTAAGCAAAGCTTGCAAAAGTGAGCACTTGGAGTCAAGAGACTGGCCTTTGAATCAGGAATGGCTGCTTTTGTGAGACACTGGAAAAAAGATAATGTCTGATTTCATTTCTGTAACAGCAGCACCTAGCTTTTACACTTTTATAGTAAAACACTGAAACATATATTCATGATATTAAGGTGTGAAAAAGCTTCAGAGTTTAAAAAATTGGTAATAAAGGGAAAACCTATATAATTGGACAATATCAAAATTGGTAAGTTCTATCACCAATAGACACTATTAAAAGATTTCAAAAGCAACTCTCAGTAGAAAATATAATCTACATATATAATATGTAAATACACACATGTATACAAACATCTACATATTGACACAAAATATGATTTCTATCCAAAAATATCAAGAATTTTTACAAATCATTAAGAAAAAATACAAATAACCCAACAGAAGACATATGGCCCAATAAACACATGTCAAGGTGCTCTGCGAGAAGTGATCGAGAAATACAAGACAAAATCTCAATGCAATACCACTATACCCACTCCAGAATATCAAAAATGCAAAAAGGCAGAAAGCACCAAGTATAGAGAAGAAGGTGAAATTTCTGGAACATTCATTTACAGCCAATGAAGAGTGTAAACAGGCACAATCATTTTGAAAAACTGAGCATCTTTATACATCAGCATAGCCTATAACCCTATAAAATGTGTAGGAATCTCTCTCCTACACATTTTTCCAACAAAAATGAATAAATGTTCACCAATAAAAGCATACATCAAAATCTTCACAATAGTGCATACTCTAATAGCCAGAAACTGGAACCAACCTAAATGCCCATGAAAAGTAAGATAAGTTAGTATTTTCACACAAAGGAATATGATACAATAAGAATAAAGAAACAATAACTCACAAATACATAATATTAATGAAAAGAAGCCAGACAAAAATCAGTACATGTTTATGGTTTCATTTATATAAAGTTCTTGCAGAGTAAGAGAATGACTGAAAGGAACAGGAAGGCACTGTTTCTTTAAAAAGGAAGACTTACTATAAAAACAATGTCAGCAGAAATAAATAGTGGATGGAACTAAACTGTGTCAGAAGTGACACAGTTGATGTACATTCTAGTGAAAGCTCCTTATTTTGACCTGGACTGGAAGAAGCAGTGTTGTAGAGACCAAGAAAAGTGAGAATATGCTAAAGGTCTTTAGGTTAAGTTAGAGATACTATTTTGAACTACTTTGGCAAGGGGGTGGGGAAGGACAATTTAAATAAAAATAATAAGATGGCAGAATAAAGTCCAAGTATATCAAGAAATGCAAAATTAAAACCTTAAACTCACTAGTTAAAAGAAAAAGACAAATTGAAAATCTTAACAAAATAAACTATTTGCTATAAGTAAAAGGGTTGATAGTAAAAAAAGGGAAAAACATAAATAAAACTGGTAAGGTTTATTGATATTTGGAAAAAAAGAAGTCTGAAAACAAAAAGCACAATTAGAGAAGATCACTAAATAATGATGGGAAGTCCAATTCACCAAAAAACAAACAAACAAACAAACAAACAAAACACAAAAATTCTGAACAGGTACACATCTAACAAAATAAGCCTAAAATTTATATAACACAAAAAATTCACAGAACTTCAAAGCAAAAATGGTAACTCCAATATCACTGTAGGAGAATTCAACACACTGTTCTCAGCTTTTGCCATCAATTCTCTAACCGTTCTCAGACTTTGTCTTCTCTTTAGATCAGAAACACTGTCTTGTTCCAAAGCACAGAATGAATGTTTTTGTTGTTTCCCATACCATATACATAAACCTACTGAACAAGGAGGAAACTCATGGATCTTAAGGACTAAAGGTCAATCCAGATGCATTCTGAACTCTTTTAGAGATAGCTATTTTGTGATTAAATAATAAACTCAAGATTGTTAGCCTCTAAAAGCTGTCAGGTACTAAGTGGTACACTGCTGCCATCTGCTGGACACTGTTCATTTGCACGTCAATTATGTTTGCCTTAAAAGTCCTAGTAAGACGAAGGTCTTAAACTGTCACCTTTTCTGAGCCTCCTTTATCTACTGAGATGAAGATACTCTCTCTAGATTAAATGGTTGTATACAAGGTGTTGATAGAGGTTAAAGAAACGTTTGTGCTATTTAAGCCTCTGGTAACAATTACTTTTTTAAATAAAGGGATTATAGGAGTATAGAAAATTATACTGCCTGAAATCCACTTGGAATTTAATATATCCATAAAGACTACCAATTTGCCATACAACTATTGGAAAATCATATTTCATATACTGACTAATGGCAATGAGTCACTTTAAACATACCAATTATACTTTACCTATATGGCATATTATCCACATTACTTGCTGTTTCTTAAAATATGCGCATATAAATTCAAGGTAGGTCTTTTAACACTTGCCCATACCTGGTTCCCTTGCCTTTCAGGCACACAGAAAGATTACACTTCCTGTCTTTAATACTTATGTGGGACCACATGATTAGTTCTGGTCAACAGATCATGAATGGAAGTGCCAAGTCTTGCTTGCAGGCCAATGCAAGTAACTATATGTGTGAGACCCTCTGGCACTCTCTTCCTCTGCCATAGTGAAGAGACCTCAAAAGATGGTCAACCCCCAAATCAAAGCAGCTTAGATCACTAAAGGCAGCTGCCCTAGAGAGCTGTCCAGACCCACAACAGACTTTCTAAGAGTAAAAAACAAACTTTTACTGTGTTATCACACTGAGAGTTGGCACTTCAATTATGCCCCAGTAGAGCACAGGACAAGGTTTCTCAACAGCAGCAGTACTGCCATTTTAGGCTAGATAAATAATTCATTGTGGTCTCTGTCCTGTGTACTGTGGGATGTTAAACAACATCCCTGCCATCTACCCAATAGAAACCAAGAAGCCCTCATCAATATGACAATCAAAACCACCTCTTGTCATTGATCTCCTCCCCACTATCTTTAAGAACCACTGGCACAGATTAACCTACTAATATAGTATGTACATATTTATGTATAAATGAATATATATGTAAACATGTTGAGTATATTTAAGTCAAATGTCTCATATTCTCATGCTTTATTTCCTACTAGGGTCAGATATTTTATAAGCTCTTAAGAAATACGAATTCTCATTTCTCAAAGTAGTAAATTCATAAATTAAAAAAAATCAATTATAGCACAAGTCTCTCTATAATAGGGTATACAAAACATCCCAAGAGTATATAAATCCATACATACTATGCTGTTCATTTCAGAGGACATAGCTCGCAACCGGATTGACATTTCCAATGGATTCCAAGCCTCCTTCATCCACATGTATGTTCCATCAGAGTTAGCAGACAGAGAGAGTACAAATGAAGAACAAGCTCTGTAGTCTGTATCCAGTGAAACCAAATTATTCCCAGAAGTATATTTTGTACATTCACTCCTGTCTTCATTTCATTTAAAGAGAAAAAAAAAGATTATTGATTCACAAAAATATAATTGTTTCTCATGTCCTAAAAATCTAAGTGCGAATCATTTGATACAGCAGAAAAGCTGGCTCAAAAAAAGCACTAATAACTGTAGCATTTTCTATATCCTAAGCAATGAAAACATAAAGAGGCAAAATCTTAAAAATAACCTACTGAAATATTTTCTAATAGACAAAAAGAAAATGTACTTAGTCATCTTTCACTTCTGTAATATTTCAAAAAATGTAAATAAAGCCTCATATTCCTATGTTTCCCAAGATATTTATTTTTAAACATTAACCAGGAAACTCCTTTTCCTCTGTGTACACTATTTAACTTCATAAATAATGTAGGGTACTCATAACTGCCTCCCTATAAAGAAATAAAGTTGTTCTGGCAGTCACTTTTAGAAAACATACAGACAATCAAGGGTTTGTACATGCATCTCTATGCACTGATCTGATTATACCAGGGGACAAACTGAACAAACTGAAGGGATTGGACATACCACATGTCTATATCCAATCCCTTCAGTTTGTTCTATTTTCAAGCATATGGGCATACAAACACCAAATACATTTTCTCCAGCATTTAGTAATAGGATAATCAAACATAAGAGGAAATGTTTACCAGGTATTGTTTCACTTTCTTCAGTTTAAAAAATAAATAAAGCTCCCTCTGGATGTGTATCTACAAAAATTGCTAAACAAGAAAAATTTTTTGATTAAAAATATCAATCAGATTAGACATAACCTATATTATCTCATTTACCTTGTGGTACAGCTTTACTTGTAACAAATAGCAATGATATGCTACCCTAAAAGAAGAGATGGTTTGATGACTGTCATACCACTGGATGAGGTAAGTAGGGGAAAAGTCATTTAGAAGTACTGTGTATACTAAGCAGGAATAAGCCTGTGTATAACAGTCAAAGAACAACAAAGATTAGGAGTGGTTTTATTAACATTGTTTTAGATATGGTGAAAAATGGGGCAAAAGTCACAAGGATATGGTGAAAAATGGAGCCAAAGTCACAAGGAAAATGTTACCCCACTCCAATTTTGTCTAGATCCATCCCTCTGTGTAACTTATAGTACCTTGAAATCTATCTGAAGATAATCCTAAATGTAAGTTCAGTTATATTATCTAAAAGAAAGCAAAGAGACTTAAGGTTCGTAATATTTACCAGAGACACTTATGTCTATCCATTCATCAGTTTTACTGAGGGCTTTTTCATTTTCCTTGGGGGAATCAAATATATCCTGTGGTGGCACATTTTTCATGTTTCTCTTCTTTGAGAGACATTTCCTCTGAAGTTATTCTAGTGCTGTTAGAGTCTTCTGTATCTATAAAATAATCACTGAAGTCTTCACTTAAATCGTTCTTGTCAGAAGATGACAAGGAAGACAAGGAAATATCCACATCATCACTCAGGTATCTCATTTTAACATGTTTCATGCTCTGGTTTTTCGTTCTGTAACTTTCATTTTCAGTCAGTTCTTGGTCCTTATTAGTAGCTCTGTCCTCAGCCAAAACTATAGCATCTTCCTCTACGTATGTGTCAGCAGGTGAATTTTGATTTCCATCAACTGTGATAGTCCCAGAGAATGGAGATCGGCTAGATTTCAGTAGAGAGATAAACCATTCTATAGCCTAAAGTAGAAGTTACACCTGGACCATTTGGTAAAGCCAAC